ACATACTTTCAACGACTGGCGTGTACAGTCATCGTGCTACCACAGGGGCGCGCCGCACAAGGAGCGAAGGGCCTCTTCTGTCCACGGCGGGCCGAGGCAATCGAAACAGCTTCCCCGACCTGGACCCCAGGAGCGGGCTGCAAGATCACAGCCCCTCCCGAGCCCAATGCGGTCCTTAGTGCAGCGTCTTAACTGTACTTGACTTCGTGGGCCTGTTCTCCACCACCACCACCATCTTAATAAGTTGGAGGAGAAAAGAGGTGGAGGAGGAGAGGGAGGAAGACGAGGAGGAAGACGAGGAGGAGGAGGAAGAGGAGGAAGAGGAGGACGCCCTTCCCCTCTTACTTATGGTGGTGGCGGTGGGAGATCAGCGCATCGCGAGCGCCCCGTCGCCATCTGGCGCCGTTGCGTGCCACTGCATAGCTGCGTGTCAACAGCAGTCGCAACTCCCGTCCGCTTTGTTCGAGGAAACGGAGATGTGCCTCCCGTCGGCCCTCGGCTCCCACACCGCACACGCTCGCCACCGCTCGGGTGTCCGTTCCCCGTGCATGTCTCGATGTCGCGCGCTTCTATCTCGCAGGATGACCCACTGTGCGTCTCGATGGTCCTCGCCGACGACCACACTGCACACGCCCCAGCGATGCTAAGCACACCGGGATCTGGGGCCGCACGGCCTGCGCCACGCCCAGGAGACGAGCCCTCAGGAGGAGGAGGAGGAGGAGGAGGAGGAGGAGGAGGAGGAGGAGGGGACGGAACGGGTTGTGGGAACCCTGGATCCCAAGGGCTTGGCATCTCTTGGCAGGGCAACTTGACTCCCGCTGCCTTCCACAGGCCTTCCGCCCGATCCCGCCGCCTGCCGCTGGCCTCCCGCCGAAGACGAAATGTCAAATTTCGGCCCCTCGGATGCAGGACCATATCTTGGTCGGGGGCGGCCGAGAGGGGGGCGTCCAAGAGGGAGGGGCGCAAATCATGTCCGGCGGCACGTCCGCAGCCCAGGGGGGAGGCCGGGGACGCATAGCGAACAAAAAAAACGCCGCCATGAAATCTGGGGAGAAATTATGGCCTCCGCCATGATATCCCCCCCCCCCTAGTCATCACCCCCCTCTTTGCCGCCCCCGACCTGAAAGCCCTGAACGTTGGCGGTGCCCAACAGCAAATGGTGCCCCGAAGCCGACAGCGGGCGCCCTTGGGCGGGCGACGTATGTCCCGAGCGGACAACGTGCGCGGTGACACGGACAGCGAGCCCCTAAATGGGCAGGAACTGATATCCTCCTGTTCCTCCTCCTTTTCCTTCTCCTCCTCCTCCTCCTCCTCCTCCTCGTGGCACGCAAGTCCTCGTACACTCCTCATCTCTTCCAGGGCTGCGAGAAAGGTCTCATCCATCCCTAGGCTAGCGTTGTGGGGTTATTGTTGGTCGCCGATTTGGCCCCGCAGCTCTCCACTAAAGGGGCTGCACCCGCAGTCCCAACATGCCACCTCGTTGGGACGTCACCAACCAACCAACCAACCCCACCTCCATCTCCCCTCCCTTTTGTTGCTGCCCTCCCTCCTCATCCTGTGCTCCTTCCAGGCCAGTCTTCGCCCCCATTCTTCCATTCCCCATTTCTCGTTCCTACCGAGTCGAGGGGGCAAACGAGCCAACAACATCAAGGGATCCACCAACTGCCCCCCTTGCACCGATCAATGCGTCGAGCGAACATTTTCTGATGCGGCGTTTCGACACTGGGCGGAACGAAGGGGTTCCCGGCTGCGGACCTCTGCTGATTGCGACTGTTTGCAACAGTGCTTTCTATGGGGGAGGCTCCACCTGCTTGAAACAAACGCCAACAACAACCCAGATCTCAGTAGTGACATTATACTGGCGAAGCTTTCGGCGACAAAACGCCAATCAAAAAATAAACGATTTCAACTAAAAATGAGTGGTGTAGCGTTGGTAGAGGCGCAACTATCTGATTGCGAAAGCATGCGAGCCCGCGCGATGCTTCATGCCCAAGTAGGCTACTCCGAGAGAGGTGCGAGCAGCACGGTTGGCACGAACGAAATCGAAAACAAGTCGACCGCGAAGAACGACGATGCGAACACGACCAGGAAAAACAATACAATTCGCAAGGGCGAAACATTAAAACAAAAGTCCGGGCAAATAGCAATGCGACGGCGGGGGGGTGCGAGATCTGAGATCTGCCCCATGGGGGGGAGGGGGTGCGAGGGCCCGCGCCGATCGGCAAAACAATGAACAAGAAAATGACATTCAAGGCAAACCGTGACGGCACTGTGAGTCCGCGCGTTCGGCCTCGGGATGCGGCCTAACGCTTTCCCTGCCCACGGCTTGCCAAACAACGACGCATGATGGAAAGCCTGCCCCAGGGCAGGTCCGGGTTCGGGGCCCCAAGACGGTGCGACGACAGACCGTGCGGTGACCTCGGGATCACCTGAGATCCCACCGCACGGAATCACCACAGACCCCGGATCCCCAAAACTTTGCGGCCACTCTCGGGGACGGCGATAGGGGCGAATAGCCCAGGGGCGGGCATCACACGTACTCGCCGAAGGCATGGACCATCGGCGCCACTGGATCCGTGCATTGTTCTCCCCTAGGCTATTCGCCCCCGTCGTCGCCCCCAACCTTCCGGATATCCCCAACGCCTCACCCCCCGGCTGTGGTCACCGCTCGCCGTGTGGGGCCCCCCGCCCCCGGAGGGAGTCGAGCTCCCCGGGGCCCGCGGGGGGCCTCCTCGCCTCGTGGGGGGAGCACAGCCGAAGGCTTTTGTTTGGGGGACGGGTTTCGGCCTCCCTTGCCGGGCCCCGCCGCGGGCATTGGAGCACGACTCGGGAGGAAGGGCTGGCCCGCGGGGAGGAGGCCGAGACCTGCAGGGTCCACACTCAGAACAGGAGAGTGGGAGTCACGACGTCGGAGGTGTGGGCTCTGGCTGCTGAAGGTTATGTTGCTCCCATCGTGCTAGAGGACCACATCCCAGAAACAATGTCGAGCACCCGGAAAAGTGCCGACAGAGTGTCGAAACAGTGTCGGACGAGTGCCTCCCAGGGCCCGACACGCGAAAACCCTAGAGTTTCGGACCTTTTCTTGTGCTCGAAATTCTTTCTGGTGGTCGAGGCTAAAGTAGGTTGGAAAATCATAAGTTGAGGTAGAGTGCCAGTTGACACCGTGGCGCCTAAGGAAGAGCGGACGGCTGCAACCAGCCTCGTCGAATGCGAGCGTGCTCAAACGGCTCGCGAGCGAATTGGTAGTCTTAGATCGGGCGCGTCCGCCTACAAGCGGATTTGGGACAAAAAATAAAACATCCGCCGGCCCCCTTGTGGGGCCACCAGGCTGTAGGACTAGGGTTTGCTGTTCCATGCGCCAGTTCTAGCTTCCGGTTTCCACTGTTACAGTATTGCTTTATGCTGCTTTTTGTTTCTTGTTGATGGAACGCGCGAGGGAGGGGGGGGGGGGAAATGCAAAGGTTTGCGTCTCCCGGGAAGGTTTTCAAAATTTCCAAGGGACGTGGGACACGTAAAAATACTTGAAATTTCGCGCCTCCCGAGGCCATACACTTTTGTAGATTCCACCATGTTCGCGTCCCCGAGGCCATAAACACTCGCGAATTACACGGTATTCGCGTCCCCGAAGCCGTAAACCTTCGCAACGTATACAATGCTTGTCCCCGAAGCCATAATCTGCCGTCAATTACGCAATGCTTGCGTCCCCGAGGCCACAAACACTTGTAATTCACGCGGTAGTCGTGCCCTTGAAACCATAAGCCCGAGCAACTTACATTATATTCGCGTCTCCGAAGCCATAAACCTATGTAATTTGTGCAATGTATGCATTCTTGATGGAATCAACCATTTAACATTATTTGACATGCGCGCCCCCGAAGCCATAAACCCTCGCAAATTACAATATATTCGTGCACCCGAAGCCATTAACCGTTGTAAATTACAATATTCGCGTCTCCGAAACCATAAACTTGCGTAGATGACGCAATAATTGCGACCCCGAAGCCAGAAACCCTCGTAATTTACAAAATAATCGCGTGCCCGAAGCCATACAACTTACACAACATTCGCGTCTCCGAAGCCATAAACCTGCGTAACTTATCATAGATGTTTGACCCCGAAGCCATACACCTTCGCAAATTACTCGCTATTCGCGTATCCGAAGCCATACACCCTTGTAAATTACACGATACTCGCGTCTCCGAAGCCATCAACCCTTGCACATTACGTGAAAATTACGCTATATTCGCGTCCCCGGAGCCTTAAACAATATCATCATAATGTAAATGTCTCTTGCCGATGCTGCTTCACGGCGGCGCCGAAGCCTCATGATGCAGCTCTTGCCTAGGACAGTATCCGAGAGAGGGGACCGGCGGCAGGGGGCGAAGCCCTTACGGATAATCATAGAAATGCTCCCACATGGTCAAAACTACGATTAAAAAATCCTCCCCAGACTACTTGTTTTACTATGTTTGAATATTCCCCCTGTAGAGGGACAGGCCCGACTTAATGGTAGCCTGCGGGCTGAGTGCGAGCAGCTCGTGCCGAATATCGCACTGCTGATGCTGAGTGCTACCGACTGGGATGAGCCCGAAGTATACACCAAGCTGCCTGGTGGGCTTAGCTGCCCCGATACGCAACACGCAACACGTAGCATATTGACACGGACCTCAACACGCACATTGAACACGTACGTTTGGCGCGATACATTCACCAAAACGTGGCCCAACACGTGCCGAGCCACCACGCAGCGTGATGTCACGGTCGTGTTGAACACGGCACGTGTTGCATTTCAAAGCGGGCGTATCGAGGCAGCTAAGCTTGTGGGCGAACGTGCTCGCTGTATAGACACCCCAGCAGCTGCGGCGTATGTACACCGAGTTGCTTCACCGAGGTCCTTGTTTCCTTGGCCGTCCAAGTGGCGTGGCGAATACATCGAGCCCCTTCAACGAATGCGCTCTCCCTACCTGGCCACCCAGGGCGGTCACCCTGCCCTGGCGGGCTCATGTGGCGTACTTCGACACCCACTCCCTGGCCGTCGCGTCGTGCTTCGCACGGTCCTTCAGGTACAGCTGGGCGATCTCTGGCACCAACGGATCGTTCGGGTTCGGGTCGGTGAGGAGCGATGAGATGGAGAGCAGCACTTTTGAGATTGTCAGCGCGGGGCTCCACTGGTCCTTCAGAATGTCGAGGCATATAGCTCCGTTGGCGTTGACGTTGCAGTGGTAGATCTTCGTCGTGAAGCCCACTTTGGGAGGCTTGAAAGGGTCCGCCACCGAGCTTGGAGCAGTTGGTGAGTGCGACGACCTTGCATGTTTATCAGCACCGCTTGTGCCGAAGCTACAACCAAGTCCCTGGACGCATCGAACCCAACATTGTCATGCATTTTTCGCTCAGAACGAACATTTTGAAAATATGCTCGCTTCCTTATTTATAAAACCCAAATCAACAACGTCTGGTAGGAACCAGCGTGGCACCAGCCCTGCTGCGTGCACCACCTCGTCCACCCCAAGCCCCTCCCCCTCCCCTAGGCGCCTGCCCGAGCGCGGTGGCGGATTCGCGGCAGCGCAGACGGATAGTCAGACGGGAACTGAACGTTCAAAAAGAAAACCCCGCCTGTGTACGCTGAATCTGGCGGTCCCATGATGGTCGCCTGCCAGTTGAACATGTCATCTCCGACAGGGCCCGCTGAACAATTAGCCGGCGGATCATTCCCCAGGTCGGTCAACTCTTTCTGGATACGCTTGAGTGCCATCGCAGCAGCCAGTGATTGGCCAAAACGAATGGGTTGCCACCGAAACCTCCTTAAGAGAAAAACTGCTGCAGGGAATATTCGAAGAGAGACAAAACATGCAACACGAGGATGCCTCTGAATATGTGAACACATTCAAGGCAGACGTGCCAACGAACGAATCGAGACGGAGACGGAAAGGAACAACACGTTCAGTGCCAACATGCCCTCCCGACACAAAGGGTGCATCTTTCTACGCAATGACTATGGCAGCGTTCATTCGCATCCTGAGCCGTAGGGCGCGAAAGGGAAAATCTTCAGGGGGACGGACCTCGGCTTGCTGCCTCAGGACCTTCAGCTCCATCTCTTTGGCAGTCACTTCCTCGATAGCAAGTGGCGTGAGGAGAAATTGCAGAACCGAGAAAAAAGAAAGGGTGGGCGGACAGGTGGACGGGGCGTGGGAGGAATCAAGGCGATCAAACAAAGCTGAATAGGTAGATGGCTTTACCGCGTGACACGAACATGCTGGAAACAAGCGTGGACCGCATGCCACGCAACATACGAAGCGAGAACCGTGAACGCGCAACCTAAGATGCACAACGTATGTAGACGACACGTGATTCACATACACCATTGATGCCGAATTGGGCTTGACGCGCGAGGTGTATTCTATGAGCGCAAAAACAACTATCATGTCACATCATCGTGCGTCATACGTAGCTCGCACGAGGAAAGACGGCACAACGCGGAGGAGTGGAAATCACCCTCAGCAATGGAAGTACCTTCAAGACTGGAAGTAGATGGAACGTATGCCGGAACATGATTGAGGAAGAACTATAGCACAGTTCCAATGCAGTTTCTGAAGAAATCATCCGAATCGTTGGCCTCAACCTTCCCCTTTCAAGTGGACAGGTTAGGTCTACTGCCGCACTGGCACACGCCTGGCAACAAAAACATGTTGGATAGACATGTTAGGTCAGGCGCGTTGATATTTTTGCGCAGCCACAGCTGAATGCTACGTCCGGTCATATATGGAAAGCATTGTGTACGGCCGCCATCAAATAATAGATGTTGCAACTGCTCCTCTGCAGTCGTCAGCTACCCTATCGATTCTCAACACATCTCCACCCTGCCAGGCCAGGACGTCAAGTTCTAAAGGGGAGCGAAAAATACCACACTGACGACACCCATGTCCCACCAGCCCTCTGGGCGTGGGGGGGAGGTGGATCGTTCTGATCTGGCAGCGACCCTACGGTCTGTCAGGCGCTGAACTACTGTATGATTACTGTCCACCAAACTGCGCCTTCAACTCCTGCAGGATGCTGGCCAAGTGCTCTGGCTTGGACTTGAAGCCGTGGTCGCCGCCTTCCACGACACGCAGCTGAGCACCAGGCACCTGGGAAACCAACGCACCACCCACACACGCGGAACTTACATTATGATATTATGATGGCCACACGCGCTGGCGACCAGGACGCACGAGCGTCCAGTGGCCAGGTGGCCTCCAGGGAGCACAACGGTATCCTCAACGTACTGAATGCATCTGGCAGGGGTTGCCCACTGCTCGGAGTACGTGTCTGCCTCTCTCTGCCGCCTCCCCTCCCTACCTACGTAGGGAAGCGTTTGACAGAAGAGCTGCGGGCCCTGAAGAGTGGTGGCAGCCGGAAGATGTCGGCGGCGAGCGAGGGGGGAAGTGAGAAGGAGAAGGCAATCTCAGAAGGCAAACTTGAAAGAAGGCCGGGGGGCATCCGAGCCTTCTCAGAAGGCCCGCCCCGTCTCACTTCCCCCACCGGGCTCGCCGCCGAAGATGATAAGCCCTGGGCCCTGGGCACCAGCTGATGGAGAAATGTGGCCCCGATGGATATGGCTTCGATGTCCTCTGAAGGCAGAAAGCCTGCGTGAACAGAAACTTTCGAGATCCGCGCGGATCTGTTTGATCGGCGCTGGACCCTCTCCCCAGGCGCCGCCAGGGAGGGTCCATCGCCGAGCCAAGCAATCTGCGCGGGCCTCCAAAAGGTAATGCTTATGCCGCTCTCTGTTCCACGATCCTCGCCGCCCACCCAGACTGTCAGCCGCGGGCCGAGGACGATACCCTCCACGGCGAAGGACCAGGGCAGCCTCTCCAGCGTGAAGTCGAGAAGCCAGCCGCTCACGCCGCACTTCCAAGCGTGGGCCTTGACGGGGTCGCCCTTCTGCAGGGCACTCGCCCGCATGTCCTCCACAAACCCCAAGAGGTCACGGCCATAGCAGCCTCCGCGAGGTCACAACACCCTGAAGCGCAGTTTCGGCCGTACGAAATCTGGCGACCTGGTGCTGCTCGATTGAGCGGGAACTCGTGTGCGCGTGCCTGCGACTCGTGCAAGGCAGAATCATTCACACTCCTGGGTGGATTGACCCTCCAGGCCTAGGGGGCTCGCAGCCACGGACTCCGCGAACGAGTCGGCGGCCCGGAGGCTCGCAGGTGCCAACGGGTGGCAATAGGGCGCGTCCGAGGAGATCGCCGCGCACGCAACCACCTGAGGGGAAACGATGGGGGGGGGCAGGCGATCTGGAAGCGACCTGGAATCAGCAACGCATCGCCGATGATCGGCGACAGGTGGTGGGGCTCCGATAGCAGAACCCCACGCTCCTGAGCTGAAGTCGGGCGTGTCCCTCTACAGGGGGAATGTTCAAAAATAGCACAAGAATAAACAGGGGACGATCTTTCGACTACTTGTGGACTATTTTGGTGTATTTGTTGAGCATTTTTCAGTTTTCGTCCAAAATCCGCCTGTAGGGGGACATGCCCGACCTACTCCTGGGCAAAGGTGGGCCATCGGCGCCCTATTGGCGCTTGGGGGCCGCTGCGTCGCAGCGCTGCCCATGGCCACCCGCCCCGGCAGAGCGGCCGCCGTCGCCAGGGCGTAGGGGCCGCCGGACGAGTGCCCCGCGACCGCGAAGCGCGGCAGCCGGAGCCTGAGCTGCCCCGATACGCAACACGCAACACGCAGCGTATCGATACTGAGCTCAACAGGTAGTTTGAAAGCGTACGTTTGGGGCGATACGCTCGCCAAAACGTGGGCCAACACGCTGAGCCAGCACGCGGCGTGTTGACACGGCCGTTTGGAACACGGCACGTGTTGCGTTTCAAAACGGGCGCACCAAGGCAGCTAAGGCCGGAGCCACTCCGCCAACTCCTCCACGTCCCGCGCGAAGGCGGAGTAGCTGTACCCGGCCGGCGGCGGGGAGGACCTGGACGGGCGCACGCTGGAGGGGCGCCCTCGAGGTGGGGGCGCGAGGAGAGTCGGCCTCGGCAGAGGGCGGCGAGCGCCTCGGAAGGCAGGGGCCTCCTCCGAAGGGCCCCGGCGGCTCCCGAGAAGGCGCCCTCGAAGCTGGGAGGGAGTCCGGGAAGCCGCCGTCTCCCTTGGAAGCTCCCCCGCCTTCCCAGAAGGCCGCCCCCATCGCGCCACCCAAGCGTGGGCGCCGCCAAGGATGGCCCGTGGTGTCCCCTCACTCCGCGCTCTTCGCCCAGGCGTGGTTGAGGCCCTCTGTGGCAGACCGAGATCGGCGCGTTCCCGCCAGAGGCTGACCCCAGCATCGCCAGCATGGCGGGAAGTCAACCGCTGTATCCGCCGCCGCCCGCAAGAGAAAGCTCGAAGGCCCCCCCAATCGTGCAGCTCGCCCTGACCAAGCCCCCCCCCCCTCGAACGGCGGCCTCCTGATCGGGGGGGGTCCACGCTTCGCCCCGCATCAAAGCGTCGGCGGCGTGCAGATGGAAAAAACTCACTTTGCGTGTCTCGCCGCAGCGCCAGTGCATCGGCGATTCGAAGCGATCCGCCGACCCCATGTGGCCCCATGCAGGCGGCCTGGACTGATAGGACTTTCCCGAAACTCCGACCACAACATCCCCAATATTGTGGAAGGCAGTGGAGGTGGAAGTTGACGCATGTTTCGGCCAGCGAACGCAAACAGATGATCAAAATCACCCCAAGATGTATGAAATAGAAACCCGTACAGCCTACTTGGGACATGTATTGCCTGGCCATTAGGGAACAGGGTCCCAAGGAAGACGGGTTCTGGACCCTCGGCATTTTCGACAGATCGGCTATCTATCCGGAGTCATTCGTCTCACGGCCCCGGGGGCCTGGGAAGGACCCCGAGGAGCCCAAACTGCCGAACAAAAAAACGGATCCCTTTCCCATGCGTCTGGTCCCAGTCTCCATGGCAACATCTGCACGGCCTGGGCAAACCAGCCTTCAAACGACGCCCCCCCGACTCATACTCGGCTACACGAAGGAGTGATCCTGGGTAAGAGTGACCTTTGGTGCGCGTTTTTTTGCGGGCCGCGGGGGTACCAAACACGAGCGCGCCAGACGCCAATATCGCACCGCGCGCGGCGATCGGGGGACCCCGCACCAAAGGTCACTCCAGCGAAGGGTCACTCTGACGTCTAGTCGACTCCTGGAGTCCTGGAAGCGGGCTACCCCTGGAAGGAAAAAGAACGAAGACCACGGCCAAAACTGAACGCGGAAGCGTCTGTGTCGTTCTTGGTCATCATCCGTCTTGGTCGTCGCCGACTCGTGGATCATCCTCTTGAATCGTTGACGGCCGGCATGGACCATGCCCAAGATCGGCGTCGACCATGTCCCTCGACATCTTGGTCATGTGCACCGTGCTTCCTCCCCCAACCCCCGACATCATGATAAATTCAGAACCTCGACCCTTCAAAAGTCTCGACCCACTCCACGAAAACGGTTTTTCATCCTGAGTCGTTTTTTGACGGCCCCGAGGCCCGGTAAGGACCTGGCCCCTAGAGGCCGAAAATAACATCGGGCCGCTGGAAGAGGAAGGAAGCCCCTTCTTGGCCCCCAAAGCGCCAGCGTACACGAGGAGGGCTTGAGGAACAACCCACCAGGAGGGCTAGTTTGGGCACGAAAGAACCTCGAGCCCCTTTCGTGCCCAAACTGTTTCTTATCTCAACGTCTTGATTGCACGGGTCCCCAGAGGCCGAAGATAACACAAACAACTGCCCGCCGTTTTTTCGTCATGACTCGAGGGGGTCTGGATCTCTCGACCCCTTGGGCACAGGGGGGGACCCCCCGTAGCCCGGGCGGTCCACGGCTATCAGCCGCACGCCGGGGCAGACGCTCCTGAGGGGCAGCGATACAGGGGGGACTGGCACAGGGGGGAAACATCGACCCAGAATCGACGATACATCGCCGACAGATCGGCGATAGCCCCACAGTAGCGAATGCCAAAGTTCCTGGGCGTGGCGGGGCTATTGGCCCCCTTATCGGCGATAAATGGGCGATTGGGGGTCGATGCACCTCCCCCTCCCCATATGCCCATCCCCCCCTATCGTCGCCCCTGAGCTCCGCAGCGGCCGCTGCCCGAGCCAGGTCAGCCGCGAGGAGCCCATGCCGTGGAAGGCGACGACGGGCAGCCCCTCACCCTCCTCGGGCAGCCCCTCCTCATCGCGCCCAACATGACGATGCAACTGACCATGATCCTCCTCGACGATATTGCATCGCCAGTTGCATCGCCATGTTGGGCAACCCCTCCTCCTCCTCTTCCTCCTCCTCCTCCTCATCCTACTCCGTTGCCTCCATTCCCAATCCTCATCATCATCCTCACCGCTCGCCGCCATCGCACGCCTCCGGCAGCAACGGAAGCGTCCTGGATCGGCGGCACTGGCCAGAGGCCACTACAGTAGACAAAAAATAGCCAGGGGACGATTGTTGGTATAATTTTACTATTTGCGAGCATGCTTAAGGTATCTATGAATTTTCGCCCAAAATCCGCCTGTAGGAGGACATGCCCGACCTAAACCTACAAGTTCGAAGACCATCAGGCTTCTACTGATCAGGGTGAATGCAAGCCTGGGTCAGTCTGGCTTCGCAGGATCCTGCAAATCCTGCAGGATCCTGCAGGATCCTGTGCGTTAGTCCTTGGCAATGCGACCCTGGCGTGGCAGGGTCCAACAAAATGCGGCGCTTCTTTGGCTGACCCCCGTTTACGTTGACCGCCGTCTCAAGGCTCCTGAGACCGATGTCTTCCCAACTTTCCGGCATGTTGATTTCTTCAAGCCCGCGGGGGCCGTCTCCAGGTCCCGGGGCAATCAAGACATGATCCGGGACGGAAGAGTGCCCCCCTGGAAGGGGTCGAGATCTCTCGGGCCGCGCGTGGAAAGAAAAACATCGTCGGACGCTGGGTGTCCGCCATTAATAAGGAATATGTCGACCCCTATCCCAGTCTTCGTGGGTTCTCGAATGGACCAGAAATTGTAGGCCTATACGATGGGGGGTGCATCCCCGATAGGGGTGCGTCCAAATAGCCCCCCTTGGGGTCTATCCCGAGGCTTCCCCCTTGTTCTGAACGGCCAGACTTTCCAAGCGGAACTGGGGAATGGGGGGAGAAAAATCGCCTGCGGGACATGTGAGCGACGGAAAAAACGGGTCTTACGCGAGATGACAGAGCGACCTTACGCCGCGGCTTACGCGGGCCGCCAGCGCGGCAAGCCGCACGCCAGAGCGGCAAGCCGCAGTGGAGACGAGACCGCTTACGCGCGACCTTACGCGAGCAACTTACGCACGAATGTCAGCGCAGACGACCCCGTTTTTTGGCGCCGCTCATGTTGTCATTTCCAAACGCTCCTAGCCTTCCAAGAGCCTCCGGAGGCCTACTCACGAAAGCACGCCAGCCTCTCTGGTCGTCGGAGGCACGGGCCCCTCCCCCGACACCCGCCGACCTGTTTTCGTCAACCCTTGGCCCCGACAGCTTCCCCTGGGCGCGAGTGGATGGGGGGGGCCTCCCTTTCTTCACCCTTCCCCGAAGACGCAGAACAAAAACTCTTCAGAAGGCGCGAGGGCTGCTGAGGAGTCCAGCCGCCTGCTGAGAAGGCCTTCTCCTTCTCACTTCCCCCCCCTCGCTCGCCGCCAAGAGGGAAGCCTGCGGAGGACAGACAATTTGGCGTGAATTAATGGGGGGCGATAAATGGGGCGCAGCGCGGGCTGCAGACAAGGGGCAGCCCGGAGCAAGATCCTGCACCCACCCAAGCTAGGGTCCGTGCGAAGGATCCTGCACCCAAACCCGGGTTAATGCGTCCATGGCCCTGCAGGATCCTGCAAGATCGGGCGCTCTGGCTGACCCCCGTTAGCATCGACCCCCGTCTCAAGGCTCCCGACAGGGGGCAACATTTTCCATCCCGGAGCAGCGTTTGATGATCCCACGGGCCCCATGCGGAGGCCGAGATCGAGCAAGCACGCTGGGATTCGAAGAATGCACGTGGCCAGGGACCTGGACCTCCCTCGGGGGCTCCACGTCCACTGTGCTGATGCTGGGCTGCACTGTCAACGCCTCGCTGTCGTGGGGCTTTGCTGTACTCTTGCTCGCTAATGCATTTGACACGTCCACTGGAAAGGGGACGAGGAGGGGAGAAGCAGGCAAACGACGACGAACGCGCAGGCGGGAGGCCAGGGCCGGCGGGGCGGGCGGGCAGGCGGAAGAGGGCCCAGGCGGAGACAGAAGGCAGGGACCTTCCTCAACTGGAGACAACTCAAAGAAGCTTCTGGTTGTCCCCATGGCGCCAAATAGCCTGCAGTAATACATCTCTCTCGTGCGGCGCCATCGGGGGCTATTGGGCGCCATTTCGGCGCCATTTCGACATTATTCAGCGCTATTCGAACACTATTCGGCGCTGCTGGGCGCTTTTGCGTGCAATGGAGCGCTATAGAGCGCTGTTTAGGCGCTACTCGCCGAGATGCATATTCCATCCAAGACGAGCGAAAACTTCCGTGACTTACTATCGAATCTGACCTCTGGATCTGGTTGGGCCATGTCGATGATCTCCAGATCGCGTGCTAGCGCCAACGTGTGGTTGTCCGAAATCACGCAGGCGGTGTAATGGTCTACAGGTGGAGCTGACCAGGAGGGCTAACACATTGGGCTACGGTAGGTTCGCGCGGCCTCGGCGCGCGCACAAGTTACACCGCACCGGTCATGCAATTTTGAACCGATCTTGGCCCCGATCGTTCCAGGCTAAATTCCGCCGGGTCCCGTGGCATTACCGCGTCCCTCGGTGATTCCGCGTCGCAGAATTCAACCGTGAACGCGCTGGCGTCACAGGCGCGCCACCGCCTGCGTGATCCTACCGTAACGCACGTCCTGACGATCAACGACTACGCAGATCCCCGAGGTCGTGATCTTTGTCACGACGTCGACACCAGAGGTCTGGACCCCTTCAAGTTTTTCGTCCAGCGTCGTTTTTGACGGTCACGAGCCGCAGTAAGGGTCCCCGGAGGCCGAAAATGGCGAAGCACCTCCCGTCGTGTTTTTTCCACTTCATGCGAGGAGGAGGAGGAGGAGGAGGAAGAGGCGGAGGAGGAGGAGGAGGAGGAGGCTCCTCCGCCTCCTCCTCCTCCTCCGTTGTGATTTTTCCCACTCGACGCGAGGTCTGGGCATGGCGAGAGGCAGCTCCTCGTGGTACGCCAGCCGCCGGCCGTCCTTCAGCACGCAGGTGCCGCAGCGCCTCGGCGCCGCCGCCGGGCCGGAGGCCTCCGGAGGGCTGCGCAGCGTGCCGGCCGCTCTGCGAGCGGGGGCCCTCTCTGGCCGATCTGCGGCAGGCCGCGCCCCGGGGGTTGTCCTCCGCCGATCTATCTGCTCTCGCGGCCCCCTGGCCGCCGGCCCAGGCCAGGGCCGTCGACGGTCACGTGAGAGCGCCAGCAGATACCTGGCGGCGCGCACCAAAGCTCCAAGCCGCCTCGAGTCATGAACAAAAACACAACGGGAGGTTATCCGTCATCTTTGGCCCCTGGGGGGCCGTCCAGGGCCTCGGGACCGTCAAAAACCACCCAGGATGAAAAACCCGTCCTAGGGAAGGGGTCCAGACCTCTGTGGGTCGACGTTGTGAGCAAATCACGACGTCGGGGGTCTGGGTTGGCGGCGCGCACAAAGGAAACTCCTGATAAGCCTTCCCCCCTCCCCCTACCCCCCCCCCTGCGCGCGGCCGAGTGCTGGGAGGCCTCCTAAATGGGGCTCGAGCGGATGAGGTCGGAGGATCGCGCCGCAGCTACATCGGCGATGCATCGGCGACGTCGGCGATGCTCGGGAGGGCTGACGCTGTTGGAAGCAGGGCAGGTGGACAGCGCGTCGGGCCGACGCGTGGTGGGCCAGACCCAGCGGAGCGACACGCTACGCCAAAGTTAGAAGAATACTAAAAGCACATACAGATAAACCTTTGGCGATCGGCGCAGATTTCTTGGATCCGCGCTGGACCCCCCTCCCTGGCGCGCGGAGCGCGCCAGGGGCGGCACCGGAGGCGCCGCTGGGGGGTCCAGCGCGAATCCAAGTTTATGTTTATGTGATTTTTTCGTCTTCGAAAACTTCCTGACCGTCAGATTCCAGAATTCGGCTTTTTATCATGGGCTCTGGGACGTTTTGACAGCACCGTAGCCACCGAACGGCCCCTGCAGAACCCGAACCTTTTCCCCCAACCCTCCCGCGTTGCTCTTCACAGCGTGAGGGGGCTTGGGCCCAGGGGTCCCAGGAGTCGATCCCCGGACCTGTCCTGGTGCGGACCCAGCAGTAAGGAGAAAAAAAACATAAGCAGAACCTTGTGGCGCTCCCCGCGGATTTCTTGGATCTGCGCTGGGCCCCCCTCCCTGGCGCGTGGAGCGCGGCGCCTGTGGGGGCCCAGCGCGGATCCAAGAAATCCGCACGGAGCGCCAACAGTTCACATGTTTGTGGCGTTTGTTCTTCGACAGAAGCCTCGAAAGCCAGAGCCCGAAGCGCGAACCTGGGCGACGCCGGGCCGTCGAGCGCAGAGCTCCTTCGAGCGGGTGGAGGTCTGCGAGCAGGGCCGCCGTCCATTGCCTCTCCTTGCGTCGGCGGCTAGGCAGGGCAACTGCGCTGGCGGATGACTACCTAAGAGGTGGTACCGTTGTAGCGAGAATTGTGCCACCATGTAGGAGGGGGGAAAACAATAGGAGGCGGCCGAAAGAGGGGGCTGAAGGAGCGAGCCGCTCAGGGGGACGTCGTCCATTGGTACATGCCCCACAGGGGTGAGCATCGCTTACCCGACCCCTACTTATCCCCAACGGCGCGGCCTGGGCCCACTGGCAAATTGACCCCCCTAGATGGGCGGTTTCGGAAAACCTGAACCTAAAAACGTTTCCATCTCTTGGGGGCACATCTTTTACTTCCGCCGGCGTCCTCCGGCGGGTGGCCTCGTTTTACTTCCGCCGACCTTCCGCCGCCTTCCGCCGAGGCAGAAATGGCAACTCCTCCGATCCTCGAAGGCAAGGCCCGCTTTGGAACGCCAAAGATGGGGATATAGGCCTAATAGGCCGGTTCCTTCGGGCTTCGAAGGATATATCCCCAACTGGGGTGCTGAGATGGTGGGGGTCTGGGTGGGGACGGGATGGGGATAGGGATCAGGTGCGGTCAAACAACACCGAAGGGGTACGGCAAAGCTGGGCGAGGTGCCCAACAGCAGGTGTTGTCCAGAAGCGGCACCAGCGGCCGCTGCTGGACGGGTTGCGGACTCCTCGGGTGGGCCACGTCCGCGGCGGCGCCGACAACGAGCCCTGCTCAAAGTGGGCAGGAGCTGTGGCTGGTCTTTGTGCCCAGTCCTTCCGTATGAGGCGATGCCAGGACGAGGACAACATCGGGTGAGGATACATGGAGAATCCCTGAGATCTGGTGGCTCTGGAGGATGTCTTGGGCGCCGCGGCCTTCTCAACACGTTCCAGAGGCTGGATTCGCCCCGAGGTTCTGTCCAAAGCGCCCCCCAGGATAGGTCGTGGAGCCGATTTCTGACGCCCGGAAACAGACCCCCTGGCGTTGTCAGCACAAAAACTGCAGGGTGGGGGAATGGCCACTTTCGGCCGTTGGGGGGCCTCACAGGGCAACATGACTATCAAAACTAGACTCGGCATTGAAGGACGGTCCTTGGGACATCCGGGAGTCCACGTTGCGCAAAGGGTGCTGCGCTGGGAATCTGGGCATTGGATGTGTATATATATATATATATACGTGTATATATATAATCTTCGGTTTCGTTAGAAATCAAGAGGAGCCAGACAGTTGCAGCTCCAGCAGAAATAGACGATGACGCTGGCGGCCCTTACGTCAGGGCGGGGAGGGGAAGTCGGAGCCAGAGATGACCACGAGCAGGAACGGCGGGTCTGGGCGAGAGAGCCCATGCCTGCTTGCTTCAACATTCCAGGGGGTGCAGCCTGAGCTGGGCTCGGGGGGGGGTCGGCTGGTGTCGGGATCCGGTGCTGCAACTATCAGTGGCCCGGCGACGACGGCGAAGACGGCACCGCGGCCTCCTCCTCCGACGGCGGCGGCGCTGACGCTGGCCGACGACGGGGTCGTCCGACGGCGACGACGACGGCGCCGATGACGAGGGCCTGCCGCCGGGAGCCTCGCCGCGCGTGCGCGCGCGCGGAGGCCTCTGGGCGCGGCGCAGCCGCGGCGCCTCCTCGCAGCGCAGGGTGGCGCGGGGGCCGGCTCGCGGCCGACGCCCTGGAGGAGGGCGGGGGGGTTCTCCCTCCTCGTGGCTCCTCGTGCAGGAGGGGCGGATGGGTTGATTGAGACGGAGCCAGGACGAAGATAAAACCGGGTGGGGATAGATCGGGGATCTCTGAGGTCCAGCGGCTCTGGAGGATGTCTCGGGCGCCGCGGCCTTCTCAGAGCGTTCCGGAGCGCTCTGGGACGGATTTATCCTCGTCCCAGCCCCGTCCGGCTGATGCAGTGTTGTTTTTGTTGGCCGACAGGCAAGACAGGATGCAAGTGCTGCAAAGGCTGCTTGAGACTCCACACTTGTGGCCCCCCAACAGGAGGCGGCCCCAGAAGGCGCTGTGGAGCATGACGCTTCATCCGGCCGAATCGATCGGACCCTCGTCGCCCTACTCCCTCTCCAGCCGCCGCAGCATCACTCGAGGCGATCCCGATCCGCGCAGCGCCATGCTATCGCTCCAGTGGGGCGACCGCCGCTGCGCGTAGCGGGTCCCACCAGTAACCATCGGCTAGACGTTTCCGTTTCCGTGATTGGGGGGCGTCAGCCTGCCCTCGCTGCATCCCGACGCTCGCAGAGTGCGGCCGCAGCAGCCGAGCAAGAGCGCGTTTGTATATGTTCGGCGATAATGGGTACTGTAGGGGGGGGGAGGGGGGAGGGTCAGGGGAGGGTATAATGTAACGCCTCCTCCCCGCAGTGTGGCTCCGGCACCACAGCCGCCCCCGCGCACAAGACGACGATGAGCGACGAGCGACGAGCGACGAGCGACGAGCGACGACGCGAGCAGCATGTATGTGGCGACCTGCCCCACAGCGCCTGTGTACACCACAATGCTCGCGTGGAGCACAGCGCGCGTGTACGCCACAGCGCCTTCGTACACCGCAACAGCCGTGTGCGAAGCAGCGCCTGTGTACACCACAGTGCTTGCGTGCACCACAGCGCCAGTGTACTCCACAGCGAATGTGTAACACCGCAGCAGCCATATGCTATACAACGCCTGTGTACACCACGATGCTTGTGTGCACCGCAGCGCCTGTGCACACCACAGCGCCTGTCTACACCACAGCATCTGCGTGCACGCAGCGCTGGTGTACACCACAGTGCTTGCGTGCACAGGACAGGTAGAAAGAGCGCCAGGAAAGTGCTGATAGTATAATGCGACGTTCTTCTCCTCCTGCTCCTCCTCCTTCTCCTCCTCCTCCTCCTCCCCTCCTCCTCCTCCTCTCCACCTCCTCCTCCTCCTCCTCCTCCTCCTCCTCCTCCTCCTCCTCCTCCTGTGCGGATTACTATGCGGACGCCGATGCGGATCCCGATGCGCACGGCGGCAGCACCAGGAGCGCACTGGGGGGCGAGGGGCGTTACGTGATTGAGGGGGAGGGGGGGGGCGGGGACTATGCCCATTATGCCCCAAGCAATAAAGAAACACGCTCCAAGACCCACTGGATGAGCGGATAGGCGGCAACGTCCTCCTCCTCCTCCTTCTCCGCCTGCTCCTCCTCATCGTCTTCCCCTTCCTCATCTGGAGAAGGGCGTACCGCGCACCCATACCTTCGACGTTGTCGTTTCGTGTCCATTCGGCGATCTGGCATGTAAACCCATTCCGCGGGACGAGGATGGAGAGACCGGGATGGCAGCGTGTTGGAGGATCGCGACGGCAGAAAGTCAGGAAGCGGATGGCGCACACGCAAGAAGCCATCCGAAGAGGGCACGAAACCTCGGCTGTCCATGGGCGGCCCTTCGTCGAAGACCGCGGGAAGGGCATGCGTGACTGCGCCGAGCCAGCGTGGGTGCGCAGCCGAATCGGTCGAGCCGCGACGTCGGCGAGCATCGTTGTGGTCGATCGGATCGCAGGCGGCTCCGAAGCCTCTGCGGAGGAGCAACGGTGCGCGGCAACGGCGCGAGCGGACCAAGACTTTGGACGCCCGACGTGGGCACGGAACAAATGGGCACGATGCCCAACAGCAAATGTTGCCCAAAACCGACAGCGGCCGCCGTCGGGAGGGCGGCCCTGTCTCTCGCATCGACAGCGCCGCGGCGACACAGACCACGAATCATCTTGAAATGGGCCAGACATGGTGTCGGTCTCCGTTCTCATTCTTGCCGTATCTATTTCGATCGTCCCGATCGGAGCCCCAAACTGTTGGGAAGGCGGCCTTCTATCTCAAATGGACGGCGTCGTGGTGACACCGAAAACGAGTCCTCTTGAAAATGAACCGAACCACTCTGTGCCCTTTCTTTCCGTACAGTCGGACCTCGGCCAGAATAATATCCTCCAAGAACATGAGACACTCCGTCGGCCAGAACAAACAGAACATCCAAGGGCGCACTCCCTCAGATGCACAAGAACATCAACATACACGAAGAACACTAGGGTACCCTCCCCGGACCGACCTCGATCTTCTACCTCGGTCCGACCTCGATTCATTTCGATCGTGACGATCGGAGCCCCCCCAGCGTTACCATTCTCGCCGACGTCGTCGCCGCCGCCGCTGCCGCGGCCGTCTTCCTCCGTCGTCCGTCGCCGCCGTCAACGTCGTCGCCCGGGTCGCCGCGGCAGGCCCTGAGCGGGCTCCGAACCCTGGCCGCCCCCTCTCCCTGGGCAGCATTTGATCCGTGCCCACTCCGATCCTACCGAAAGAGAGGCTGGAGAACTGTGCGCCGCGCACCAGACGGGCCAGAAGAGTCGAGGGCGGCTGCGAGGAAGTCGAAGGGGAGATGGGGAAAACAGACGGTGCCCATACCGCTACTCCCCGGACCTCTCCCGAAGTGCTCCCTGAGCACAATTTCGAGGCGAATCCGGCGGTGTCGACGAGGGCCTCCCAGGAGGCCCGAAAAGGCGAAAACGAGGGAGGGGCAGCCGTATGGATACCTTTTCCTCCTCCGAGGAGAGGCGCGCTCAGAACGCGCTCCGATCGGGGGTGGACAGGGCGCCCTTCAGCACAACACCCCTCTGTGAAGACGACCCGGGGGCCAGACCCCGGCAGGCGCAGCCTCCCGAAACGGGTGCAGGCGCCTCGCCCTCTCGGGGCACCTCGGCACGCTGGGGGCACCTCGGCACGCTGGGGGCACCTCGGCACGCCGGGTCCCGGGGGCCTCCTAGCACGCTCCTTGACGAGCGCCCCCGCCCTAGTCGACTTGGCGGGGCGTGGGCTGGGCCAACCTCCGATCCCACGGGGACGGGCACGGCGGCACGTCCAGGGGGAAGGCAGAGAGGTCCTCCTCCTCCTCCTCCTCCTCCTCCTCCTCCTCCTCCTCCTCCTCCTCCTCATCGTCATCCTCCTCCTCGTCCGCCTCGTCCTCTTCCTCCTCCTCCTCCTGATCCACCACATCCTCCTCCTCCTCCTCCTCCTCCTCCTCATCATCATCATCATCATCATCATCACCATCACCATCATCATCATCATCATCATCATCATCATCATCATCATCATCATCATCATCATCATCATCATCATCATCATCATCATCAGCATCAGCATCAGCATCAGCATCATCATCATCATCATCATCAGCATCATCATCCACAACAGCATCATCATCATCACCATCATCATCATAAACAGCACCATCAGCATCATCATCAGCATCACCATCAGCAGCAGCAACACCACCATTATCATCAGCATCAGCAGCATCATCGGCATCAGCATCAGCACCATCATCAGCATCATCATTAGCATTATCATCATCATCATCATCATCATCATCATCAGCATCATCCTCTTCCTCCTCCGAAAGTCCAGAAGGCCTCCAGCTTTCGTCCAGAAGAGCTCGCGCAGTTCTGGTGCTCGACGCTGCAAGGACCCAAAAAACCTCCACGAACGATCGCGGCCTATACTGGATCGCCAACCAGCGCGGAGAACGGTCGCGGCTTATAATGCATCGCCGACCTGCGTGGAGGGAAAATGTGAGACCACTTTCGCAGGGAAGCCGATGACTCCCTTGCCATGGGCAGAAAGAGGAGTGGGGGAGGATGACTGTTCGGGTTTGAAAGCCGAGGGCAGGCGCAGCAGGAAGGCGTTGTCAAACCCGGCGGGCCCCTTCCTCGTGGTCGCGCGACGCGCGAGGATGAGGAGCCAAAAAACGACTAGCAGAAGACCGCGGAGGTGGCGAAACTACCATACAGCGAAGCCCCGCCAAAAAGGGAAAGTGCGGCAGGAACCTACATGAAATAACAACCAACAACCCTCCCTGTCGCGCGGAGCGCACCAGAGGCGGCGCCAGAGGCGCCTCCTGGAAGCCCAGCGCAGTCCCAAGAAATCCGCGCGGAGCCGGGAAGTTTCTGTTTATGTCGGTTTCTCGCTGGGAGGCCTGACGGACCCCTTCGAGCACCCTCCGTGACGTCCCACGCGCCCTCGTGGCCTCCCGTTGGCCGCATACGTACGGCAAGTTCGTGTCGTGCCGACTCGGACGCTGGTTTCTGACACCGCGGGGATCGCTCCACCTTGAACGATCGGCCGTGTCCAAAACGTCAGATCGTCCTTGGTGAGTGAAGCGAGGGGGACGTCATGGAAAGGGGATGGGTTGTGAGGGTTCGGATATGGGCCGCTCCAGAGCTCGGGGACCCAGCGGGGGGGGGGGGGGCGGAGGGCAAGGGGTTTGTTCTCCTGGAACAGGTTGATTCCCAGGGAGAACGGATGGTTCTCCAGGTGGACTTCTGGCCCCTAGTCGGCTTTTGAGGATTCTGGCAGAAGGGCAGATTCTCTGGGTGACACCCTATCAAAGATCTTCATGACTCTGTCGAACTTCGATATCTCAAACCTACATTTGATCCCGGAGAACCACTTTCTGCTCGGGGGGAGAACTGCGACGCCGACGCGCGGCGCCGACGGAGAGCAGGGCAGCTCGCGGGCCATCCCGCCCGCGGGAGCCCACGGTGGAGGGGCTCCGCAGCGCGAAGCCAACGGTGGAGCGGCAAGGGCAAGTGCTGAGCACTTCGCTCCTTTGCCTCGAGTCTTCCTGCCCACCCCCCTTTCCTTCTCCTCCTCCTCCTCCTCCTCCTCCTTTT